ACACACACACACACACACACACACACACACACACATAGAACTCTGGACAACAGTTTCATCCAAACCTGACAATTTTCTATGTCTAGTTCTATTAAGAAAAGAAGTAATAGAAGTTCACTGTGTGCTTGAGTCCCAGAATTTTCAATATAATTGGAGCTAAGCACGAAGTTAATATTTTTCCTGTTTTCCCTGGAGCCGCTGGTTGTCTGGAGAGCCCAGGGTGCAGTCCTGTCAAGGTTCTAGCTTTGCTTAGCCATGCAACCCTAATCCCTGTCAGATGCACTCAGGGCTTTCCTTCCTGTGGTGGCTGGATAAGCCAACTTACCGAGACAGCATGCAAAGATGTCAGGCAGGTTATATTTTGGTCAGTTATAATGGGGTCAAAAATTTAAAAGCTGTTTCTCACAAAACAGACCAAACCAACTAGATAACACCCCCACCCTCCTGTATGCATAACATGAAATGAAACTTCCTTTGTTCTAGGAAAAGGAATATTTATTATCCAAAGTGAGGATTTCAACACATGTATTACAGCTGAAACTTCCAAGCTCATCCTTGAAAACTGCAATCAAGTTTCCAAATACATGTTATGGAAGTGGGGTTCTAAACAGCAGCTTTTCAACATAGGCAGAAGTGCTTGCCTAGGGCTCAACTTCAGTAACCCAGAGCCCTCACTAGTAATTACAGAATGTGACTCCCCTCAGTATTTGCTGCAGTGGCAATGTCATGGAAAGGCACTTATTGAGGCATCACAGTACAAATTAGCAGTTGAAAACAGCAAATTTATTGTCGTTAAAAGAACTTCCAGCTATGGATGGAAATCATTCATGTCACATGATGACCTTTGTGAACATGCATTTGAAGGTAAAATAAATATTTTTTCTAGCCCTGCTTCCATTAATAATACAGGAGGTTCTTGTTATTCGTGTGGGTTGTAAGAAAAGCATCTTCTGTATGATTAAGGTAATTACTTCTATTTGCTATAGTATAGATTCCTATACATGCTATTTGCTATGCATGTATAGGAATCTGTCAGCAATCTATACTGCATAGAATTTGAACATGTAAAAAATCTCAAATGGTATGCACTTTGCTAGCATAATTCTTTCCTTTTACGTAATGATCATCCATATAGATATTCGGGGCATGGCATATCTTTAGAAATGTTACGAAATTTCTTCCACGTGAACCACCGTTCATGGTTTAAAATGAAGTCTATTTAGTTGCTCAACAGGCCAGAAACAAGCCATGGGATGAAGGAGACATGAATTCTGGCTTATTCCTCTTGGTTACATGACAGGAGCAAAGCAGAAGGCAAATTGTGAACCCAGTGGTTAGGATAGGCTCATTTCACATAGGGGTATATAATGGGTTGCAGAGTTAAAATGTGAATTAGTTAGATTTATAACTTCCATAATTAGTAATATGGAAGGGCCAGTAGTTAACCCACAACAATGCTTGGATTTTCTGCAATTACACAGTGTTGACATCTATGGTGGGAGGAGGAAAGAGTCATGTCAATGCAGTGTTGGGCTTTTTTGGATCAGTTCTACGAGTTCACATGCCTTTATGGATCAGTTTAGCCTTTCTCCTTAGTTAAGTAGTCAACAAACCTAATGAGTTACAAAATACACTCAGTTCAGCACAATGATGCAAGAAGACATATTTACTAATGTTTTATGTGTTGTTCTCAAGATTTAAGTGTAGGAAGATAACACAAGAATGATTTTTATACTTTATATCTGACTTGAAAATAATGAACCACTCTTGCTCAATTTTTTACTTTGCAGAAATATTCTAATTGTAGTACTTGACTCTGAGAACCTAGTGAAGGCAACCAGTGCTTACAAATCCATGAACATCACATGTCCTGACCTTGCAAAAATATGAATAGCAAATATATGAATATATGAATTCCATGGTAGTGGGTTTATACTGTAATGAATTTGTTAGACTTTAAGGTGTTACTACTGTAGCAGTCTTGCATGGGTACTCTTGGACAGCTTTATTAAGTGACTGATGGGAAGTATTGTTATAAAAATTATCAACTGCAAAACAAGTTGTTGCTATCATGATGTAAGCCGTATTAAAAATTGGTAGCAGCAGAGCACTTCCTTCTAGTGAAAGTACATTTGCTGTTGCAAATCACAAAACTGTTATGATACCAGATTTCTTTTTGGAGGGAGGGAGGGAGGGAAATATCCATTAAAGGTTTTTATACTTTTTCCATTTTCTTTCCCAATGATCTATCAGCAGTATTTTATTCCATTCAGAAATGTATACCCTGTTGGGAAATTCCCTTGGTTTGCCTTGTGTTTTTCCATTTAAATACAACAATAAATGGCACTATGAATGTATCCAAGATTTCAGAGAAGATGGATATCCTTGGTGTGCCACAACAAGCCAATATGAACAAGATGAAAAATGGGGATTGTGCCCAAATTCTGGTATGTCGCAATTAATACATTCCTTTATCTATTTATAGCAATGACACATGCATTGGCCTGAGGACGTTAGACTAATAACTGGAATGGTGGTCATGGGGTGGAGAGAGATGTATATGGGTAGATCCTGATTACGGATTCAAAGTACTGTTTGTTGAATTGTTAAATTGTATTCACTGATATTATCAAGAGTTATTTAGTATGAAGGTAATTTTGAATTTCAGAGTACATCCTACTTCCTGACTTAGTTTTGACAGCAGAATATGGAAAGTACACTCATAGTAATGTCATCATAGCATTTCCACTTTTTCACTAGGTGTTAATTAATCTAGATTGTTACATTAGGAATGTTATGTTTCTTAATTACTTTGTAATATCATGCTGTTTTTTCTACACAGGGACTGGCTGTGACATTTTTTGGAAGATAAATGCAGATACTCAGATTTGTTACCAGATCAATCTTCTTTCTGTTCTCTCCTGGAATGAGGCACGTATTGCATGTCAGGGACAAGGAGCAGATTTGCTAAGTATCACAGATATGAGAGAACAGACGTATATTGGTGGTCTAATTGGTAAGTGTAAAAGACATGTTGTTAAGTGAAACCTTGATTTTGTTGAAGTCCAGAATATAAAAACTTTCAGTGAAGCCCCAATTATTGTGATTCCTGTTTACACAAACTCATTGGCTGCATTCATATATAACACTGAACTAGTATTTGCCAACCTGTTATGATTCCCCAGATTCCCAGCCAGCATGGAAAATGGTTAGGAATTTAGGGATGCATTGTCCCAAGATACGTGATTGGCATCAGGTTGGAAAAAACAAAATTCAACATTACATGAATGAGCAACAGAGACTTTTAGATTTGCAGATTCTTTTTTTCTGCAAGCCTTTGGTATGGCTATGAAAAACAGATTAGAAATATCCATTTCCTATTTTAAAATAAATAAATTTTATCAATATGTCCAAACTGGGAATTCTGATTAGCTAAAACCAGGATTGGTTGAAACAAGCCAGGTGTAACATTATGAACATAAACTATCTCTTAGTTTCTTTTAATTATCATGATTTAAACTTTCAATTGGTCCCTTTTGGAAGCAATAGTAAATTACTGTTAAGTTAAAATATAAAGCAGACATTTCTATCTATGTGTTGCTAGGAGTCAAAAATGGTTTGATGGCACATAATCAGTCCTCTTAGCCACACCAGAGAAGCAGTGAGAAATACTCAAGCCCCCCTAATGTTGTTATTTATTTATATATTTAGTGCTAAATTAGGGGCAGGGAACTTTGTGGTGGAGGGGGCACATGTATTTAGCTAGGTAGCTTCTGTGGTCTACTGGGGGCAGTACTCTTAATTGCTAGTTGATTCAAAAGGACACATTGTATTTTCTTAATTTTCTCAAATGATTTCCCATCCTTTTTCCATTGACCAGACATCTTCCTCAACAGCAGCTTATTTGGAAGTGAGGACAGTAGGAAGTTGACCATTTCCCATTGCCTTGTCACCTCTGCTTTTTTGGCCTTCTATGATTCCTTTGTTCCTGTACTGACACATGGATTCCATCTTGGGAACAATTTAGAACAGTGTTTTTCAACCTTAGCAACTTTAAGATGTGTGGACTTCAACTCCCGGAATTCCCCAGATAGCATGCCAAGGTTGAGAAACACTGATTTAGAAGAAAAGGTTGGGTGCAGTTGGCTAGGATGAGTTAGCCTTTTCTCAGCTAGAGAAAAAGGCTTACCCTTTTTTAGTAGGCTGCAGGAGCTCTGTTTGAATGACTGCTTGTCAGCTCTCGAAGGGCATGAAATAAACAATTCTTTTACATTCTTTTTCTGAAGTCCCCTGCATTGGCTCATTCCTATTTCCTTATTGCACAACTGACATGGGAAAGAGAGTAAGAGAAAGGAAGAAGCAATCCAGCTGTTTTCTGAAAACAGTAATTACAGATTGCTTGCACCTACATCTGCTGCAGAAATCTCATTCTGCTTAAAGAGAGCAAGAGAGATCCATGCATTCCATTGGTTTAAACATCCAAGGCTTGTATTATTGGGAGTGAACTGTAATGGTATCTGAATGGCAACCTGTTTATGAGTGTTTGATATATATTTTACAGAGCAACTGAACACAAAAGAAGCCATGCTATGGACAGGCTTAAATCAACTGGATGAAACTGCTGGCTGGCAGTGGTCAGATGGTGCACCTCTAGCTTTGGTGAACTGGCAAATGGGTATCACTTGGATTTATTATAGCACATTTATGGCTTTTTCAACCAAAATCAGTAATCAGCTGGCAATGAACTAGCCAGAGGAGGCATTAGGAAAGCCATAATCTGAGTCCTGCAAATTGAATGAATCAGCACAGAACCAACGGGTTCTGTCCTTTTGTAGGGAAAAAAAGTTGGCTGTTTCTGAAGATAGGCGAATTTCTCAGATGGGATAGGTTGATATTCTTTAGTTTAAACAAGGTGTCTAATGTTTTTTTCTTTCTCTCTTTTTTAAAGACGTATCTCAAAATATCTTGCCACGGCCTCCCTGCCACACTTTTTGGTATAAAATGCCAATGAGAGCAATGCTACTGGCATGATTTGAGCACTGCAGTCTTAACTATGAAAACTTCTTTCCATACTGAACATTCTTAGAACATGTGAAATGGCATGTTAGAATATTTGCATATCTTAACATGTTAAACAGGGACTTTCTTCCTGGTCCTGAAAAATTAGATGTGCTGTTTATATTCAACAAAATGACATACAGTATTATGAATTATTCAGTATTATTGAATAATTAAGGCTATATGCAGTCTTTGAATTACATTTTACAAAATAAACATGAGCTGTGAGAAGGCTGGATGGTAGATTCCATGAAATTCATACTATCATTTCTATCTGAAACTTTTGTCATTTTCTCTATCTTTATAGCAAACTTGCATGATTATTCCTTGAGTTTGATTTTAAAATGTATGCTAATATGCAGAAGCTGGGTTCACACAATTTCTAGACAAACATGCTCATATCAGGTGTTGTGTGTTTACCCTCAGCGTCCATAGACTACAGAAGAGAAATAAGCTAAGAATTGACTACTTTGAAATCAGTAATTCAGTTTTGATATCACTCTGTTGTCAAGATTTGAACCCATAACTGATTTAGAAGTTGTTCCAGCTACTTCAGGCATAGTTTTTTTCTTACAGGCAACATGATTTGGTAATAACTAGTAATGCCAGAACTCTTGAATCACTCATCCATATGTCATCATACAAGAAAACTGAGTGGTATATTATAAGGCTACCTGAGGGATGGTATGTGCTCTATGCACTGAAAGATATAGTATGTTGCTGCTTGAGAGATAACTGTTAATGGGGGCTAAAAGTTACAGACTTTTTCCTATGATAATATTTTCTCTGAGTATTTTGCTTCTTTTCATAAGGATATAAATTATTATAAAACTGTGTTTGCAGATCCCATTGACAATTCTCTTGGGCCACCTCGTTGTAAAGCATTTAACTTAAAAACACAAAACGATTGGCAGAGTTACTCATGTGAATCTGGACTACCATACATATGCAAAAAATATTTAAATGCTACTGACCGTGAAGCAATTGGTAAGTCACCATCACCAGTGTACTGTAATTTTACTCTCTGATTCAATTTGCAATAAAAGGACATATTTATTATGCATCTCAATGCATGATGGGCTTTAGACAGTCTGATATCTGGGATTTACAGAGTGTATGCTCTGGATGTCAAGAAAAAAAAATAGTTACATGTACAGAGTATAGTCCATTTATGCCAATGGAATATCTAAGCATTCCGCTTTTGCCATTTTGAGGGCATAAAACATACTTTTTACAATGAGAAATTAATGCTGCCAAAGGAATTTTCTCCCCATCTAGTATGGTAGCTTTTAGAAGTAAATAAATTATGTTTATATTACTTAAGCTCCAGTGAAATAGTCAGGGTTACTTGTAAATTCCACATAAAAGAAACATGCCAGCATTCTGCGCTGCTAAATGGAAATCCACATACAGTAGTCAGCTCTTGCTAAGCTCTTTTCTATGTTTGGCTCAACAAAGAGGTAGCAGCATTTATTCTGTATGACAAGAGCTCAGAGTGAATGTTGCAGTTGTTTTCTATATATATATATATATATATATATATATATATATATAT